CTGAGACACCTAAAGTTATTTCCATTATCTTACCCTAGAATACAGAGTGATCTGATATTGGCTTATCGTATACTGAACTATGACCTTAGTATTAATATGTCTTATCTTTTACTTCCATCCAGGACTGATCATTTGAGAGGACATTCGAAGAAGGTGCGAAAATTGAGATCATATCGTTTACATCTGGAGTTTCGTTTCTCGCACCGAGTAGTGAATTACTGGGATGCTCTATCAGAACACGTATTATCAGCACCTTCTGTTGATATATTCAAAACGAGAGTAGAAATTTTTACCAACGATCCAGTCATCGGACTGTTGGAAGAGATGAAAAGTTTTACGAGCTCATCAAGTGGAGTGTTAAGAAATATAAAAAGAATCTTATAATTCACTTTCTGTACACCCAGTAGCATTAATCAATCTGTAGTAACATGGTTGCATATTACCAAACTTTTCTGTAAAGTTATGACATCCGTACATTTTCTTTTTTTGAATCATGACTGTTCACAAATATCACACTCTTCTTTCAACCGTTCATCCTCTTGAGGAATCTTCTGGATTTGTTTGGCAGCGCATGATCTTGATATATTTCGTCGGATTCCATGTATGAGGTTCTTCTTAATCGCATAATCTATTGTCTGTCATATGGCCGTTAGGCCTCAGTATCATTTGTGAATAAGTGGTTTGTACTACACTAACAAAAAATTCAGTAGTTATACAAACTATCATCGATGATTCTCAATGATAATGATCTCTAACACCTTAATATTAGGGGTAGGATACAATTAGGCTTAGTTTGAATGTTCTGGATTATGGTATTATTTATTATTCTATTTCACACAGTTACAAAAATGTTTATACATACCATTAATCCCAACCTAATATCCTTCCGAACCAAATGTCGTAAGTGTGGATATACGCTACCAAAACTCTTGTGCATAAAATCATTAATGATCGAGCCATAAATGGTTGATTAAAAACACATGTATTGTAGTACCTAAAAAAGCTGCTGTGGCTAGTTCTATGCCAAGTGTAGATGGGTTATTCTAGCTCCCGGACAGACCGAATTATTCTTTCTTCAGTTACATTTTGATTTGGTCACTTATTTGCTCATTAAAACCGACTATTTTTATGTGAGTGTATGTGCATGTATTGCCTACTTTTTCATCGTATATCTTCAACTTATTTTTGTCTAACTATAAAAATTGAGATTTACACCAGAATTGAGTAAAAAAATGTAATTCATCAAAGTGAAACAGTAAAACACAATGCAAGTTAAGTAAGTAACATAAGGTTTTGCTGAAGGAGACCTGAATGAAGCTTAAAATGCATGACAGGGGAAAGGTACAACTAAAAAATACTACCCATTTAAATACTGTGGATGGATTTCCAACGTGTACTTGCTACATCTAGTCTACGGGTATTGTTTTCAATACTTGCCATAGCCACACCAATGAAATACCAACTACAGAACTTGTACAATTGACAGTGAAAGCTGTCCTACAACTGATCATCAATCTTGGACTTAGTTAAATAACGGGTCCTAATGAGTTATACCAACGAAAGATGCCATAGTTAATTCTATAATTAATTATGAACAGAGACATATGGTGTTTCATTACCGACATATCAGACTGACCAGCATTGTAGCGTTCTCTGAGCATCCAATAGCTTTGACAAGGGGACATTTTAGATTTTATAACCCACCTATGTAAGATCACATCTAGAGTTCTATTTTCAAGCAGTCTATACCTGAATAGTCATACTAAGATGCTCAAACATGTTCAGCGAGTAAGAACAAACCTATTGAAGAGTTTTTCCAAACTAATTTACTGTCAAACTATTCGTTCTAATCTTGACGAATATTCGTATATCTTATGATGAACGCTTAAAACGCCTGAAACATTTCATCTTATAGTACCGTAGGACAAGAGGTTACCATTCACTGGCATTTCGAATCTTTATTAATGATTTTCGGGTTATTTTGTCTCTTTATTTTTCTCTTCAGGACTAGACAAAGATCTCACAAACACAGTGGGGTTCTTTTTTTCTCATCACGTTTTTAATGACTGGAATGCCTTAATTAAGCGTTATCAGCCTCATCGGTAAACATTTTAAGGGGAATTTGGAACTGCACTGGAAAATAGGCTTTAACGATTAACATAGTTTCGCAGACATACCATCATTAATGTTGAAAACTGAAGCGGTGATTTTGTAAAGTGAGGTACCTTGTCTTCATACTGCACAGGTTGCTCGACCTCCATTAGCATATACTTTGACTGCATAATGTTTCATAATTTATACTGCTTAACTCATAGTAGAAACGTCCACCGTTATTAAGTGTTTATTCTTAATAGAGTACTTCCTGTGAAGGTTTTTGCACTTAAGATTACACAACTAAATAAAATAAGTATAGGTGAATAAAGGTGGACGTTGAGGAAATACGGGCGACATTGGCTAAGAGAATTGGATGTTAGTTCAGGTAGCATTATGGCCAAAAGTTGCTTCTTTTGCCCAACCTTGGAAAATAATGGGATTGCTTACTCAAATGTCTCCTATGGGGCGAAAATTTTACAAAACCATACGTTATTGATTGTCAAACTATCCATTTTCTCCCTGAACGTATGCCAACTTCAAAAATCCCTTGCACGTACGATATTTATTTCACTTGTCACCTTAATAGCTCGGAAATTCGCCCTTTCCTAGGAGACTGGTCATTAGTGGCGATGATAATTAACGCAGAATATAAAATTATTTTGGTCGTTAGTATTTAACAGAATTAAAATAGACATGAACATTCCAATGAGGGCTACACGTCTTCGTGTTGTCGTCGTTTGACATATGCTAAAGAAATAAAATGTATAAGTGTATGAACGGTCTAAATACTGTATATAAAAGTGGTAAATAATTCGTGCATTGCAAAAATGATTTACGATAAGTAATAGATAATAAGCTCAGCATTTTGTCAAGCTGCCTTATCAGTGCAGTCTTCATCATCGTTGATTATATTCTGAAATGTAATAAAACATGTACAGATATGTAGATGTTCAATTCAATTTACTTATTAATCATATATTATAAAATCGGGTCAAACAGTAATGTTGCATACAATACCCTGTCATGCCTGGGAAATGAAATGTTTATGAGTTAGAATTATCACTTACATTATCTTTTATTCTTTGCTAAAGCTTGTTTAGTTTTTCCTTCATATCATTTTTAAAATCGTGTGTTGTACTGTCTATAAGTTTTCCAACTCCTTTCCCGCTCATCAGTATGGATGTAAATTTTAATATTAGTGGACCTACATTACAGTAGTTAGAACAGGAAATGCTTACTAATGCTTCCATGTAATCGAAGTTTACTGAGGCTCATGTTATTCACTGTTCCTTATAAGGTGAATTTAATGGACAAATATGGGGTAAGGATGTATTCCAGAATATATATAAGTGATGCATTTGGGTTGTCGTCCACTGGGTTACTCACCTTGCTCATCTGAATTTCGAATCAATCGTCTAATGAACAGGCGATCGTACGAATCTGTTCCTTACATGTTTACGGAGTCACCGACCCTTCCTCAGGTGATAAAGGTAAACGAAACCCCGACAGTTCGGAAGTACTATTCGCCGTTGGCTGAAACTCTATGTTGTTTACAACCTTCATTAGTTGTTTACCATCTGCAAACAAGTCTGATATTGCTGCCAAAAAGGCGTTGCAAGCTAGCACATAATTTTGACAGGCTATTAAAGTTGATATAATTGCCCTCTTTTTTATTTTATTTCAACAGATAGATATTGGTACAAGGAGGCACCAAATACATTTGCGCCATACAAGTCACTTGATTTGTGTAAGGGATGTGATAGTACCCGGGTGCCCAGACTGAAGCAAGTGGTTTTCTTAGGGGGGACACCTCGAGCCTTTGACCTCAAGGTCTGATCCACAAGGCAGTGGAGCAACGTAAGGAGATGCAGTCGCGCAGTAGCTGGTGACCAACAATTGGTTCATATGCCATTTGTTCCTTTAGGATACTGGAGACCAAGTGCACAATTGGTTTGGGATCCGAATAAAGCGCCGGACATTCGCTTTTCGTCCTTTCATTTTCGTAAACAACAGTAATGCCACGAGAAGGCAGTGAGTAGGACTTCCCTAGCAGAGGCTACATACGCGTGGCCATGTGAGAGCATAATTGCCCTCATGACCTATTCTATCCTTTGATTGTATGTTGGTGGTGATGTGGCAGTTAATTGGTGTACTTTTATCCCAGTTGGACTTGTTTATATATATTTATAATAAAAGTAAGCTTACTTAGCTACCGTGGCAGAGACGTTTCAGTTAACTGAAACATAGGATGCTTTATGTTTCTGATTCCTGCCTGCATTTTAGCTACATTCAAATTAACGTAATGCTATAAATAACCGTATTTTCGTTCCAGTGGCTTTCTACCAATAATGTATAAGCTTAATGTACTAACATTTTAGGCCTCACAATGCTCAACGGCACCGTGTTTTCATCGATGCTTCCTGTTGCGTTTGCACCAATGATAGCGCTCACAGAAGACATGAAATCTTTAGCAGCATCGAAATCGTCCACCGTAACTTTAGTAATTTTTGTTGCGATTTGCCAGTATAACTCAACATTTTGTGTTATATGACAGACCAGTCTTCTGTTACATTGACCTCCTCTAGTATGTCAACGTTGCTGATGTTTCCCCATATACATGGAGTGACTGTAATTCAAGATCCATCTGGCAACTAAAAGAAGTTGCTTCTTTAGCCCGGCTTTAATGACAGAGAATTTCTTAGCTTGATTCTGAGGAAAAACTAAGTGAGAATACTTGATTCAAATTTGAATGCATCATTGTATTATCTCAAACATAAGGTGTCATTACACAAGTGTTAAAGTTAACGGGATTACCACTTCGTATTTAATCTTCCTTATAGACATGCACATGCAAACAATGTGCTCATGACTAACTACTGAGCACATAAAAATACCTAGGATAGCTAAGTTCAGACCTTATACTGACCCTTCATGCTTCTCCTCAGAACCCATCACATTTAGTGATGTAGGTAAAGGTAAATGTCCGGACTATTCAGGCGCAAAGTGGACAATTTGGCAATCACTGACGTTTGGATTTGTAAGATATTCGCCCCATAGGAGACATTTGGGTAAATAATCTCATTATTTCCCCAGCATAGGCGAAAGAAGCAACTTTTAGCCGTAATGCCACATTATTATTATTATTACACTGCCTTACACTAATATGGTCGACATTGTTCTTTTTTCTCTTACGCTCCTTACCTTCCTTTTTTCTCTTCCCATTCTCATTGTTTTGTAGCGCATATATACTTTGTGCCCCCTTGTACCGATACTTATGTGTTCAAATAAAATAAATAAATGCCACCTGAATTAATATCCAATTTCCTTAGCTAATGTCGCTCGTATCTCCTCAAAGTTCGCCTTTGTTTCCCCATTCTCGTTTTATTGGGTAGTTCTTAGACGGTCGTTTCATAGTAATCTCGTCAATCTTCGAGGAAATCTGAATACAAATATTATGAAAACTGAGGAATTGTTTGTAAAACTACTTTTAATCTGATAAACGATCGAATCATATTACCTATTGAATTGTTGGATTTCTATCAAGAAAATGGTTTACGTTAAGATAATCACAGATGAAATGTAGATCTTAACGATTTCATATGCTACGGAATAAATAAATATACATTTAATTTTCTCCTATATTAACCACAGATTCTTGATTTTGATGGTCTCTGTACTCGTCGGCTAACGGGGGTTGTGTTTAGCGTCCTTTTAGTTAAGTTATATAGGAAGGTTTCATTGTTAGGAGGTAATTCAACTTTCTGATATATTTTTTGCACAGGCACTTTAGTTTATTAGTTTCTGGGTATATTCTCACATAACTAGCGACTTCATGTTTAAATGGGCAATAACTAAGTGACGCTTAGCTCTATGACCTCCGAATAAGTTCTCTTTTTCAGTATGTAAACTCACGAGATATCGATTTCACTGTACTATCAATCATGTATATCCCCTAAAAGTTTAACTCAACATAATGTCACAGGAATTCCAAATACATTCAAAACCTCAAGTATAAAATTATCTGTACTTATAGTTGATTATTTTAAGGTAGGCCATTATGAATGAACCTTGTTAAACTGTAAAATATTAACTAGAAACATCGAATTAAATCTATATCTTACACTGGCAATCGTTTATATTGTTTTATAAGCTATAAAACTCTTAGGATATAGGCAAACAAATATGTATTTCATTTTCCACTTTATACAGAAATGCCATCAACTCAAAATAAAGTCGCTGAACGAGATCCGCGCTACTGTCGCCAGTGGAAGTGTCAAGTTTCTGTGGGTGAATTATATCGATGGATTTTAGCGAAACTTTCTGATAAAGATATCAAGCGGGCTCTGCACAAATACCGAGACCTAATGCCTAGACAGTCGGATTGGAACAGGAAACTGACACAAGCTACGAGTATGCCAGAGCTTGGTTTTCGATATCTGTATCGATGTGGACAGATCGATGAAAGTAACCATCGAACTATGCAGAAAATGCTAAAATATATCGATCGTCAAGATGTGCTGCCATATTTTGATACAATTTTGTATAATACCAACCATTCTAATTGTTCTTTGGAGGAGCTACAAAAAGGTAATGTTACCTTCGTCTTACCTAATCCCAATTTTAGTTCTGTTGGATAAAGTTAGCGTGTTCTTAGAATATTCTTCTACACTGTCTGAAGAAGAAGTACATCCAGAGCCTCCATATGAAATAATACGACGCCAACCAGTTGAGGGTTCACGAGTCACAAGGTACGTATCTCTCATCAGTTTGCTTCAATAAGGTCACTATGTGGTTCAAAAACACCTGGTCCTACTCGTACTATTTCCGTAACCTGTTTAAGTGTATTTATTAGCTTTCAACAAACAAAATCGTTTTTAAGTCGAGCTAATAAATTTTTCCATCAGTATTGATACTCTAAGCCATAAGGAAATTTGCATTACTTTATCCATGATAACTTTTGCTATTAATAACGGGCCGCTGTGACAAGGGTTGAAGTCCCTTGTCCTTATTTCTTAGGGATCTCCCCACCACTAGATCGAGTGTAGTCGACAACTTAGATGGAACCAGGTTATATTCTTTATAAGTGGTATATCCAGTGATTTATTATTTCTGTCGTAATTCAATTATCTCTTATGTGATTTCCTGAGTTTTTGTGTTCTATCTTTTTATCGAATAAATTTTATTCTAAAGATTAAGCCTGAAAAGAAAATCATCTGTTGGTGGTACTGGTAGTATTGCATCTGTGAAGCGAGGGCGCCGGTCTACTAATTCCTCATCGGAGACTGGTCAAGTTAGTGATTTCGAAAATTCACCTCTTCGGTACTGTGGCAAAGTGCGATCAGCAATTATTTCGAATTCACTAAATGGTCCTGTTGTGCATACTATGCTTTCCGCGTCACTTATTAGTATGCTGGCATCTTTACATACTACATTATCTCAAACATTCGATAATCCCGGTGTACCGTCTATAACCCCTAATGCATCGAATAGTAATACAATTGGAAGTTGTATTAATGGTTCAAATCCTTCTGTTCCTAAGAATCCTTTAATCTCTCATTTACTGGCTATTATCCCACATTTGATTGCTGTTTCACGTGCTGCAAATCAGTTATCTAATCCAGCACTACCCTCTCGAATATCGAATCTTCCAAATAATGTAAATAATAGCAATTCAGGGATTTTTGGTTCAAGATTTGCTGGTATTCATAACAGACCGGTAATCAATGCGGATAGACGGCTGCCTCAACAGGTTCAAGATCACGTAGATCCTGCTGCTCCGGTTGTTTTAGATAATTTAAACCACGAGCAGAACGTTCAAGATCCAGTCCACCCTATCATACCTGGTATTCGTGCACCACTCATCAACCCTCCTAACGTGGAAGCAGATCGTCCAGGTGGACTATTGTTTGCACCTCAACCTAATATTCGACTTGCAGATGGTGGATCACCTGTAGTCTCTCAACATTCGACAAATCCCCCTGTTTTATTAAAGCATGTTGTTTTGTCAAGCGGAGGAATAGGTATTACTGCTTCGTCACATGATTCAGTAATCCATTATTATTGCAATATTAAACTGCATGTCAATATTGATTTTGGTCCTTCTACAGAAAGTTTAGTGAGTTTCCCGTCGCTTAACGTAATTCTCAATAATTTGTACGTTTTTTTAAAGTTATTTAGATATCATTAAATTTATTACCTCAGAAAAATTCACTCACTAAGAGATATTTTTAATTCGGACACATATCAGACAGTCAGTCACAACGTTGAACCTGGTACGAATGTACATCGGTTTAAGTTGCCTTACACCATCAACCCAAAGAGATCAAATTGTCAGGTCAACTCCCCGAATATTAGAGGTAGTAACAGTATCCATGGTAAAAGGAAAAAAATACTCATAGAAAATACTAGTCGAGAAGTTGTAAATTAGTGAAATGAAACCAAAAAATATTATGGGGAATCCAGAAGCTCAGGATTTAGGGAAACGCAAAGAACAAATACACTTGCGTCATTACAAACGACCTTGAGCCATGTCATTTAGAGTCTCCAACCATTGGTTATGATAATCACGTGAATCCAAAGCAGGTGGTCTACGCCTATTAACATGGTTCGGTCTAACTCTCGATGACTTGATCAGTCAGTCAGTCAGCTACAACGTGGGACAAGGCACATATATGCATCGGTCCAAGTTGCCATACCTCACTAACACAACAAGATGGACACCGGGTTCATGAAAGTAGTTAATTCAGAGGTGGTAATATATAAAAGAAAGATTGCAATAAGGATATAGTACGGGAAGAAAGAATTAGTTCGTAGAAAGAAAGATATGAAGCGATTTTAATCTCTTAGTTTGAGGGAAGACAGGGAGTGTATGCACCGACGATATTGTGATCGATTCTGAGCCATGTCACCAAGAGTCTCCAACCAATGGTTATGATAGTCACGCGGACCCCAACCAAGTAGTCTGCATCTACCAACATGGCTCAGACTACAAGTTAGTGACTTCAAGCACTGATGCCACGTTTTGGTTTGGCCGCCCCTAACTTTCTTCCAACCATCCCGAGCACTGGTTAGCATTGCACGTCATAGTAATCGGTGTTCGGGCATACGTAACACGTGGCCCAACCATCTCAGTCGATGAAGATTCACAACCTCATCAACTGATTTACCATCATTCCCTAATACCCTGTGTCTAACCTCACTATTACTTACCCGGTGATCCCAGCAGACGCCATCAATATTTCTGAGGCATCTATGGTCACATACTAGTAGCTTACTAGCGAACTGTCATGTTTTAATTTGGCCACACTTAGCCTTCTCCCAGCCTGTTTTTGCACCAGACAACATTACCAGTCGAAGTTGGCCATATACAACACTTCACCTAACCACTTCAGTTGGTGACGAGATGCCACATGTTTTTTGAATGACCATTTACTGTAAAATCATGAATTTTAAAGTTTACCAGTTTTTTTGACAATTCATTTTTGAAGCGATGAATAATCCAATAGGCTTTCTTACATTTAAAGTTTTCGGAAACCACTATCTTCGACGAGGAAAGCAGGCTAAGAACTTAAAGTTGAAGATTATAATTACTTTCAAACTTTTTAGTAGCTTATATTGTACTTTTATTTGTCAATAAGACAAGCATTGGGTTTCGAAGTTACAGTTTTTGAGTTACGTTTTGCATTTCCGACGTATATCATTCCTTACTTTTCCATTGAAAATTATAAGAAGCCTTGATGATTGGAGCCATCGATTATTGATCTGAGCCATGTTAATAGATGCGGATTACCTGGTTGGTGTTCGCTTAATAACTGCGATCAGTAGTTGGAAACGTTGGATGACATGACTTAGAATTAGTCATAGTTACGCAGATCCATTCACCATTAATCTTTAAGCCTTGAATCCCTATGTTTCCTCTTTTCATCTTGTCTTCTCGTGTCATATTCCCTATGCTCAATCTCATTATCCTTGCTATTGCGTCATTTTGATTTATTTGTTAGTTTCACTTCGTAATGTTATAGTATGGCACATTGGGTCAGTCCGCACTTAAGGGAGGGTCTACAATGATTATGACTGACTGAAATAGTGATATTGTATCAATTAGTCAGTTAGTTATAAACAACTTAGGACGTGGCATGTATGTGTAGTAAACGAGAACTTAGGTGAAAAAAACAAATTTATTATCCAACTCAAAATTACAGAGTTCACAAAATGTGAAAACCATACGTTAAATACATTATTTGCACATCTTCCTTCAGCTGTCGTTTAAATGCTTCATGATTCTTTCAATTCTGTTATTAAAGCTGCTCTCTGTATCCCTTCCTGTTCTCTTTATTTCAATCTTCTGCTGGCAGATATTCCATATTCGATTGCTACAACATACTACTTATATCTGTCAGCATAAATAGTATGCACCACATATGTGAATCGATTCAAGCTACCAAGCAATATCATTACTTCCTTACTTCCTTACGCCTGTTACTCCCAATGGAGCATAGGCCGCCGACCAGCATTCTCCAACCCACTCTGTCCTGGGCCTTCTTTTCTAGTTCCATCCAATTCTTGTTCAATTTTCTCATGTCTACTTCTATTTCCCGGCGTAATGTGTTCTTTGGTCGTCCTCTTTTCCTTTGGCCTTGAAGATTCCATGTGGGGGCTTGTCTTGTGACGCAGTTGGGTGCTTTCCTCAATGTGTGTCCTATCCACTTCCAGCGCTTCCTCCTGATTTCTTCCTCTGCTGGGATCTGGTTTGTTCTCTCCCACAGTAGGTTGTTGCTAATAGTGTCCGGCCAACAGATCTGAAGTATTTTGCGTAGACGACTGTTAATGAACACCTATATCTTCTGGACGATGACTTTCATTGTTCTCCAGGTTTCCGCCCCAGTAGACAGTAGAACTGTCTTGACATTTGTATTGAAAATCCTGACCTTGGTGTTGGTTGACAGTTGCTTTGGGTTCTAGATGTTCCTCAATTGTAAATATGCTGCTCTTTATTTGCCGATCCGCGCCTTCACATCTGCATCAAATCCACCCTGTTCATCAATGATGCTGCCCAGATATGTAAAGGTTTTTACATCTTTCAAATCTTCTCCGTCAATTGTGATTGGATTGGTGCATGCTGTGTTGTATCGCAGAACCTTGCTCTTCCCTTTGTGTATATTGAGACCTATTGCTGCTGAGGCTGCTGTTACACTGGTCGTCTTCACCTGCATTTGTTGTTGCGTTTGGGATAGAAGGGCCAGATCATCTGCGAAGTCTAGATCGTCTAGCCTCATCCTAGATGTCCATTGTATCCCGTGCTTCCCTTCAGATGTTGACGTCTTCATGATCCAGTCGATCACCAAAAGAAAGAGAAAGGGTGAGAGTAAGCAACCTTGCCTGACACCGGTCTTTACCTCGAATGAGTTTGTCAACTGTCCTCCATGCACGATTTTGCAGTGTAATCCATCATATGAATTCTGTATGATATTGACTATCTTCTGAGGCACGCCGTAGTGTCGAAGAAGCTTCCATCGTGTTATTCTGTCCACGCTATCAAATGCCTTTTCGTAGTCAATGAAGTTGATGTAGAGTGATGAATTCCATTCAATTGATTGTTCCACAATGATCCGTAGAGGTGCGATTCGGTCTGTACACGATCTATGATTACGGAATCCTCCTGCCTGTTGGTCACGAAGTCGGACATTTACGCAGTCCTTCATCCTGTTTAACAATACCCTATTGAAGACTTTTCCCGGTATTGAGAGAAGAGTGATGCCCCAGTTGTTATCACAGTTGCTGAGATCGCCTTTCTTTGGTTTTTGATCAGAAGTCTTTCTTTCCAGTCTGTTGGTACTTGTTCCTCATCCCAAATCTTATTGAAGAGAATGTGGAGTATCCTTGCAGTTGCCGCTACGTCTGCTTTTAGTGCCACTGCTGGAATGTTGTCTGGTCCTGTTGCTTTGCCACTCTTGATTTGCCTGATGGCCATGCTTATCTCTTCAATTGTTGGTAGGTCAACGTTGATTGGGAGGTCTGTGGGTGCTGCTTCGATGTTGGGTGGGTTCAGTGGAGCTGGTCGATTCAAACGTTCTTTGAAGTGTTTTGCTCACCTGTTTTGTTGCTTTTCAATGTTGGTGATTACGTCGCTTTCCTTGTTTTTCACTGGTCGTCCAGGTTTGCGGCGATTTCCAGAGAGTTTCTTTGTTAAGTCATACAGTGGTCTCATGTTTCCTTCTCTTGCAGCTTTTTCCGCCGTCATTGCTAGATCTTCCACATATTTACGTTTGTCGGTTCTGATACTCCTCTTCACTTGTTTGTTTACTTTTGTGTATTCAGCTAGTGCTTTGACTTTTTCTGCTCTTGTTCGGCTGGTATTGATTGCTACCTTCTTGTTCCTCCTTTCTTGAATCTTATCCAGTGTATCAACAATGATCCATTCCTTGTGATGGTGCTTCTTGTGACCCAGGACCTCATGACATGTTGAAATGATTGCCTATTTGATCCCCTTCCATTTGCTCTCCACAGTAGTTCCTTCTCCATTGAGTAGATCATGAAAGGCCTGGAACTTATTGCTGAGGACTATCTTGGATTTGTTGAGTTTGTTAGTATCCTGAAGAAAGGCCGTATTGAACTGTTGTGATATTGTCCGCCCCGTTGTCCAGTGCTTCTTGAGTTTCAATTTCATCTTGGCGACCAGCAAGTGATGATCTGAGGCTATATCAGCTCCTCTCTTGGTTCTCACATCTTCCATCGTCCTCCTGAACGTTTTGTTGATGCAAATATGGTCGATTTGGTTCTGCGTGGTGTTATCCGGTGAAGTCCATGTGACTTTGTGTATGCGTTTATGTGGGAATATGGTGCCGCCAATGACCAGTTTATTGAAGGCACATAGGTTTGCAAATCTCTCACCATTTTCGTTTCTTCCTCTCTGTCCGTGTCGTCCCATGATGTCTTCATATCCAGTGTTGTCCGTTCCAACCTTGGCATTGAAATCTATCAGAATGGTCAGGTCCTTTATTGAGCACTTCTCGATGATTGACTGCAGCCTATCGTAGAATTGATCTTTAGCGTCATCATTGTAATCATTGGTAGGCGCATAGCATTGGATGATATTCATTGAAATACTCTCTTTCTTTGTTTTGAAGGAGGTTTTGATGATCCTTGGTTCATGAGATTCCCATCCAATAAGTGCATTTTGTGCTTGTTTGGACAGCATCAACGCAACTCTTTGTGTGTGGGGGGCATTTTCTTCATCATGGCCGGTGTATAACAGAAGCTCTCCTGAAGTTAGTCGTTGTTGTCCAACTTGCGTCCAATGTGTTTCACTGATCCCAAGCACCTCTAGGTCGTATCTCCTCATTTCTGCAGCAATTTGGAGGACTCTTCCGGTGTCCCACATTGTACGAACATTCCATGTACCTAAATAAATGGTCGCTCTGGTTGTCAGAAGGGGCATCGGCCTCGTGACTTCCGAAGGAACTCGGCTTTCATTATGAGGCGTCATAGTTCTTCTAAATGAAGACCTTCTGACCCCCAGGGCAGAGGTTAAAAGGTTTGAATAATTCTTTCTGGTTAGTGTTTTTTAGCGAGTTAGTTTTCTACGGGATGGGGACGCTAACCCCATGCCCACACTCCTCGTTAAACCGGGCAGTAGCCCCCGGAGGGACTCCAGACGAAGTTAAGCCATATCATTACAACACGATAAAATTATCAAGATACATACCAAATTAAAAGCGGTAGAAACAGTATTGGTGATAGGTGTGACAATGGTTTCATCAGTTTCTCCGATGGTAATGAATTTGTTCATGCATTCCCCCCCAAACCACTGCAGTCACAAATGTATAAATCCACCAAAAGTCGGGTTACATTATGTAGATGTCATGTTTATTATCGTTAAATGGAATGGTTTAGAAGAATTGTTTGAAAATGTAAATAAAATTTCGAGAAGCATCAAGTTAACAAAAGCATATAGAGTCCAATGACTACAAACTAGAGTTTCTCGATTGTTTGTTTGAACGAAGATATAATAATAAGTTGAAAATAAAGCTATTCATGAAATCAACACATTCTGAGAGATAATTAGATTACGGTTCGGCTCATGCGTATTGTACAAAAGTCACGGTTGTAAAAATTTAATTAAAAGGAGTATTAACCTCATTACAGATAAGGAAGACCAACAGGTTGAATTGAATGGAGTTTTGCCTGCACTTAGGGAATAACAATTACCCCAAAGAGTTCTTAAACAAGATTATTTGAAATGAAAGTAAAATTAAACTAGAATGTATGCCGAAAGATTGGAAGTTCACCATGGTCATCCCATACCGTAGTGACACATTGGAAGAAATCAAGAGGATTCTAAACAAACATGATATAAGAGTGTATTTTCAGGCTAGTGGCACCATAAGATCAGCATTAGTAAAAGTTAAGGATAGGTTTCCGAAGGAAGAACAACAGAATGTTCCTTATGAAATCAACTGTCATGATTGCAATGCAGTTTATGTGAGAGAAACTTCAAGGCAATTGAATGTGAATTTGAAGGAACACGAACAATGTTTGAAAAATGTTCCCAAATCCTCGGTTGATCTGAAGAAACTTGAGAATATGTCGACAATAGCGTTACATGAGTTAGAAACAGGACACAAGATCAATTTTGAAGGGACAAAAATACTTCAGGAAGATTTTGAGACATATAAAGAAAAATTGACATCAGAAGCGCTCTATATATGGGCCAATAAGAACAGCCTGAACAGAAAAGATGGTATTCAACTAACTACCACATGGAAAAGGTTCATTAACAAATAATTGGACCCTTTCTCTATCCAACCTGTTTATTTCACATGCATCGTTATTCTGACAAGAAATAATCTGGGATATTTTAGCACTACAATTATATATTTGATGATTCTCATTTTACATGCACATCAATGATTCAGAAACAATTTCACTCATTTTTACTTTATATAAAAAAAAATTACCACCGAATATCAACTATTAATAACTAAAACTTACACACACATACATACATACATACACAATCAGTCATTCATTCATCTTAACATTGTGAACTCTTCATATGATTCACATATAATCGATTCGTGTTATCCTACTTACAAAAGGTAACATTTTATTATGGTTGAATAAGCTCAGTAAAGATTTGATTTTATTGTTAAACACTATGTATATATTCCTTTGACAAGTTTAATTTTAATTATTATTCTGAAGAAATTCAAGCAAGTTTACTAGACAAAACGTAATTATATCAATTTCAATTGCTGAGATTATTATTTCAAATATAATTTTCACATAGAATAAATATTAATAATAATAGAAAAGATTAAATAATTGTAATTGGTATCTAATTGACTTTTTATTCAAACCATATAATCACTATAAAAGTAAACCATATTTTAGGATTATTAAAGTTTCAAGGGTAATTTTTAATCGAATTGTATTTTCTGTGATAAATTATTATAGTTCTTATCAAAAATGAGTAAAATCTTGGTCATCCAAATGAAAAAAAAAATAAAATCAATTATATTTTAAATCTCAATAATTGAAATCATGAGTCAATTGAAGCTAGACTACCATGGAAAACCTGGAAGCACTGGACGGCCATTTCGTCCTAGTATGCGACTTCTCAGTAATGCGCATCCGCGACATTTGAGCTCAGGACCCTGGATCTAGCGGGGGTCAGGATCGTGGATGCGTACTGCTGAAGAGTCTCATACTAGGACGAAATGGCTGTCCAGTGCTTCCAGGTTTTCCATGGTAGTCTAGCTTCAATTGACTCATGATTTCAACTATTGAAACGACTAAAATCTCTACAAAATCCCTTTTGATATTTTAAATCACTAAATTTTTCTGTAAACAGTAAACAACATTAACTGATCGATTATCGATTGTATAAATTTCATTATTCTGATTTCTTTCTTTTTTCTTCTTCTGTAATTAGAGAAGAATCCAAACAGTTCGTCAAGATTTTTTTGAACGTCAAATTGATTTTTTTGTACAAGCATCAAACTTATTGAAAACTCGTTCACCAAGTGAATTTATTTGTAATTTACAATTTACACGACTTAACCAACTTGAAGATTTTTGGGCTGATTATCAGTCAGGTGCATTACGATATGTAAGTTGAATCAATTTATTTGTGATTTGGAAATTAAGTTTGTTATAGTGTTGATTGATATGCTAAGCCCATATATCTTATTCTTATTTATTTATTTATTTCAACACATAGATATTGGTACAAAGAGGCACCAAACAGATATGCGCCACACAAATCTCATTCGATTTGTGTGTGGGCTGTGATACTGCCCGGGTGCCCAAACCGAAGCAGGTGGTTATCTTAGGGGGCCACTTTCCGAGCCTTTGACCTAAGGGTCTAACCCACAAGGCAGTGGAGCATCGTAAGGAGATGCAGTCCCATGGAAGCCGGTGACCAACAATTGGTTCATACACCATTTGTTCCCACAGGATACTGGAGCCCATGTGCACCATTGATTTGGAATCCGGTTAAGGCGCCGGACATTCGCTTTTCGTCCTCTCATTTTCGTAAACAATACCCCCGCCACGAGAAGGCAGTGAGTAGGACTTTCCTGGCAGAGGCTATATACGCGTGGCCATGTTAGAGCATTTCGAGAGGGAGAGTGGACCCTCCCCACTCGGCCGTACCAGGGCATTTAATCTAGCTTATTTTTGTGTGACTATAAATTTTGATTTACGCTTCATCAAATGGAGTTGAGCTCACACATCATCTCCACTGCGCGTCATTTCGTTTCGCTCTCTTCTATTTGCTTTGTCCCTCTGATTGTCTGTCCAGACCAATGATTATACAAAATATGTGTATTAGAAATCCATTCTCGTACTTGACTTATTTTAATTCCATTATTCTCCAACGCGATCTAAGTCGATAAAGATATACGAGGATAGTCATGATGTATATTTTGACAGCAATTATTCATAGGATCTAATTGGAGTCAGATCCCGGGCCACCTAACTGTTTTCTTTTTTCTCTTTATATCATGCCTTATTTATTATGAGTAGTTATCTCAAAGCTTATTAAAATGCCTAGTATTTCTTACTGATCAACTTCAACTACCCAACATATGAAATAGTGTAATCTGATAATTTTATTCAATGTGTTTTTTCTTTTATGTTTAAAAAAAGTATTAGCTTTCTTTATTCAATCTGAGATATCATCCACCTATATACTTGCAGTAAATAGATCTTTCTAATAAGCTTGATAAAATAATAATTCAAAGATATTTTCGAACAAACACAACGACAAATCGCGTCCTAGGAAGTAGAGACTACACCAATAATGCGATATAAATGATTGCTTTGTGGACAAACTGTTTTTTCCTAATCTATTCCTACTCCGTCTAACAATGATGGATCAAGGTGGAGAATAGTTGAAAATAAGTAACACTTCAGTCTATGACAACTTACAGCGTAATCAACTGATTTCCTATAATTGCCTAGCCCCATACGTCGAACCTCAACATTAATCAATCTGTGAAAAGTGCCTTGAAGGGAAATTTGATCAAAAACCTGCAGTTTATCCATATATTCTCTTTTCTTAGGCTATTGATACAACTCAGTTTCTTAAATTGAAGTAGATGAATCAGGGTTTAAAACTGTGACCTACTAGTTGGAAAAAAAGTTTAGTCCTTCAATCACTAAGCCAGCGCTGCACACAGTTCTCCAAATGTTTGATTCAAAGTGTTATAACAATAGATGCTATATATTATTTTGATATTCTTTTCAAATTACTTTCACAAAATAATTCTGTTTATCATGAATGAAAATCTTTCCTATGATATTGTAATATTTCTCTGTTCCTTTGTTATCTCTCTATTTCCTAAATTAAGTATCTCATGTCTGTATTGAGAAGTGAAAGGAATCGAAGCTTTTTTGGTGAACCACCACAACAGATATCTTCCCAGTTTTCATCAGTTGTCGAACAACATGTTGTGCCTGATGCTTCAGGTCAACAAAATCAGGTTGCAAATGCTGTGAATAATGAAGGAATGGATGTAGCTGTTCCTTTAATGCCTAATAATGCATCACAAAATTCAGCTGAAAATAATTCTGATGTTATAGTCAGTAATGGTAGTAGTTCAAGGCCAGTTGATCCAAAAGTGTCTGGTTCCAATTCATCAGAATATTCTAATCATAATCCTACATGCTCAACAGTTAATTTGGCCTCATCTTTAAATATGGCACAAGATGAAAACTCACTCAATATGTTGACATCTTGTATTGAAGCATTGAGTCGTTCGTTCCATCGTATGAGACGTCGTGAAGTCACTAGTCCATCTCTACCTACAGAACAAGTGAATGAATTTATTAGATTTGAATTGAATTTATTTGTTTCACGTAGAGAATATGAAAATGGCCGATGTTTATTAATGCGTAATTTACGTTCTATACCGAGTTTATGTCAACTGGTTTCAGCATCTTCAGTATTAACACCAGATACTGCTGTTAATTCAGTCAGTACAACACCATAAAATCTCGAGAAAAAAAACACAGAAAAATTCTTATAAAGTCTTTCCCGTTGATGTTTGTTTATTATTTAGGGACAATAAAACATTTTATTATTCAATCCTTCGATATTTCTTGTTCTTTATAGCACCTATACTTATAATCAGTTGTATATTTTAAATTTTCTGTGTAATATGTAATGAAATCTATATTGCTTACTTTTTAATCTCAATGTTGGCAAAGAGCAGTTAATATTTATGTGAAAAGAAATTCAGTCGATCTTTGAAGATATTTATCGTTTCTATTGTTTTCTAAGTAGTTCACAAATGTTCATGAGATCTAATTAAATATGATTATTTTAATATTTTGAAATTAGTTTATTGTAAATTGCACAAAATATATGACTTTATCTCACATTATGTTTGGGAATATACCTGTTTTCAAGTTGAAACTTTTAACTGTTCAGAACAGTTTGATATAATTATTGAAGCAAGCAAGCATTCTAACTAATTTGATTGCTTAATTTAACAAGATTTAAGTAATTAGATAAATACGTGAAATCTCATAATATGTACCGATAGTTTTACTCATTATTTATTTATTTGGACACACAAATATTGGTACAAGAGTGCGCGAAATATATATGCGCCACACAAAACAATGAGAATCTAAAGAAAAGGAAAAAATGTAAGGAGTGTAAAAAAAGAGAGAACAATAACGAAGAGATTGATGTAGGGTAGTGGAATAATAATAATGGGGGAACAGAAAGGTACAATCAGAAGAAATCTTTTAGTTACGGAAGATACGACCACTTTTTACGAAGAAAGTAAAAAAAGGTTACAGCAGGATCGCCACTGTGCCGCACCACCTCTCGGACCCTAGCCAGGGAGTCGTGAAGGACCAACAGAAGCCAGTCCTTTGCAGCTTTCTTTCATACCACGGCACCATGTCATACACTGACCACCTCTCCGCTTTTTCCAACCAGTCCCAGAGTCAGCAAATAATGCACGACGTGGAATTCTCTGGGACGACATTCGTGGAACATGTCGAAGCCACCGAAGTCGGTGTTTCAAGATGATGCCACCAATTGAATTATCGTCTCTGCACCCGAACACACGATGCCGAACCTCTGCATTACTGACATGGTGTTGCCACTGAATGTCAGCAATCCTTCGGAGACAGTGATGATCGAACACAAAGAGTCGTCTAACGTCCTCAACTCGGAGAGGCCAGGTTTCACAAGAATAGAGCAGAACTGCTCTCACCGACTCGTTGTAGATCCAACCTTTTACAGTCAGACTGACATCACGAAGGCGCCAAAGATGGCCCAGATTGGCATAAGCCACTCTGGCTTTCACTATACGTGCATTGATCTCATCACTCACACCCCTACCAACACTTATGCAGCTACCCAGATACACGGACTTCTCGACTCATACCTATTGGGGTAATCATTTAAGTGATGTTGTTTATGTTGGTCACGTTAAAATGACTACACATATGCATGAAGGGAAAAGTGTAGTATAGGGACAATTTAATCGGAGTTGAGAAAGCTACTTTCCAATTTTTGCACGAAATTAAAAAATGAATGATTTTAATTATATAGAATGTGCGACAGAAATGTCTTTGTGTTGAGAGCGCTTATAATTGTCAGGGAAATTTTTCTATCACATAGTATGAAAGATGATGTTAAACGTATCAATTAGTTGCTTTCATATATGTGGACTTTACATTTCTAATGAATCAATCAGTTTTCATTTCAATTTATTTTGTTCATCGTAAACTTGCAAAAAATTCATTTTGTTAATTGTTCACTGCATATAACCTGACTAGTGGTGTTGGAATATTAAGATAATCAACGATTTCTACACATGAATTCCTCATATCGACAAGGTAAAAACAAAGATTCTCCTATAATTTTATCCTAATAACTCTCATCAGTTTATGAATAAAGATTTTGTAAGCGGTGATAAATTTTATAGAAAACTACTTATAGATATAAAAACGATTTTTAAAAAAAATCACTGAAATGAATAAATTTGCCCTCAGATTATTGGTGTTGTGTAGTGACTTGCAAAATTAGGATAGGAGAACTGATAATAGTTATTTCAAACTCTAACAGGTCTCATTAATTCTATTGCGTAATACTTTTGATTTATAAAGACTGACTAGCTGATTAGTAGGTCCGAAATCACGCGACTTAAGAATCGCTCAGTCTCTTTCCAATATTATACTTTTACTATTAAGACGTCTTGGCTTCGATTGTTTGTTATTATTCTAGATTTATGACCCGAATTTGATTAGTAATTCAAATGAACAACTATAAATATCGGACTGTGAAGCGAAAATCCTTTATTCAAAGCGGTTTGATTTGTTCCATTCAGTTATGGTTCCCCACTTATTTTAACTTCAGTTACTATCTCCAGGGTACCTGAATCGTGAATTGACTTAAGTTTTCCAAATTTTAGTGAGGTTAAAAAGCTACAGTCTAAAGCAAATGAGAATGACAGGGTCTGATGGACTAACCCCTGAGATTTTTAAGGATGGTGGTCTAGATTTAGCTATGATCTGGGAGCTGATCCTATTGGGTTCGATCACTGATCGTCCCAGTCTATAAAAAGGAAAAGAAACCTTGTAACAGTCACAGAGGAGTCAGTTTAACTAGTATAATTTCTAAAGTATTGGCCTCAATAATACTTCGACATGAAGGGAAAACCCGAGGAGACTAGTCAGTTTTCAGAACTGGACGTAAACGTATAGAGCAAACATCAAACTGTTGGCAGGATCTAGAACATAGACATACTTTTCGACGTCTAACTATAGTTTCATTCCTTGACTTTACGGTGGCATTCAACTCTGTTGACCGTGAGGTTCTATGGCCGTATCTGTCACAGAAAGGAGTATCAATGAAGTGCACTAACCTTGTACAGGGTCTTCACTCGAGCTCTACTGGTCGAGTAAGTGAGAGCTTATGGGGGAACTGCCATTGAAATCGGTTACTTCAAGTGGTGTTCTGTAAGGTTGTCCGCCTTCCCTATTTTCATTTAACTTTGTTATAAACATGCTTTTAGAAACAACACTTCCATCGCCTAACTTTTCAGAGGTTGTTCTTCAATCAGGAAATACACTTGTGGATTTGTAATACGCAGATGATATAGTTCTGTTGAATACTTCGTTAGATCTGAGTAGTGAAAAATGATGAGTTTGTTGTGGATAAGTAATAATATCTGAATGATGAAATATTTCAAAACTGTTTATCATTACAGAGCTTCGAAAGCCAAGCAAACTACTTGGTAGAGTCATTGGAGTTTTGGACTTCTTCCCTGTATCCGCAGATGGAACCGTACACAATCGTGATTCACACCTTCAGAGCGTATGGGAATCAATACACCTTTGGACCACTGATTCGAAATCCAACAGTTCAAATTTTCAATTTCAGTTCGTTTTTAAGATAGTCCAATCCTCATTCAGAGTTATTGATAAGTTGCAGTTGCATTTCTGACATTTTTGCCCCCATAAATTACAGGTTCTCACTAAAATTTTCAGAGAACCACGTCACAGAGACTTACTATCGAATACCTAATGGTAATTAAGTTAGGCATTTTCACGAAAATGTGACTATACTCACTAAATAGGAAATTATTGTAGTCGAATATTCCAAGCCCAACTTACCTACTTATAAGTAGTCTAAAATGTTAATGAAGTTTTATTTTGTTACGATTAGTTTTATGAAAATAATAAGATGACATGTATAATGATTTCTCTAACTTCATTGACTATTCGAAGTATACTTTTGGAAAATGCATTTCACCACCCAAAAAATGTAAGCTCTTCATGTCAGTGTTTATTAAAGGAAGTCAGTGTTTTAGCTCGTTTCTTCACACATAATAATAAGATTCCCATAGTATTTGCTATAAAAAATATTTGTTAGACAAGTAGACAAGGCGTAAAATATGTTAACACGATGAAAAACAGTTTAAGTTACTGGACATTTTAACTATCAAGTTACATAATTATAGAAACACCCCACCCACTTTCATAAAATGAATGAAGCACTGAAAATAAACCAAACGAAAGGGATGAACACGTAGGCGATAATTAAATATGTACAAATGAGTAAACTATCGAAGATTAAAAGGAAGGTTAAAAATTAACTGTATCTCTATTACTATAGTTCATTTCTAGTCATACCATTTAGTACTTTAATTATTGATTTCTCTTTGAGGATGATGAGGTACCTTTCCTTATCCATAAGTATAGTTAATAATCGTTGATTTATCTTTGTATCAGTAACTAGACTTTGTTATATAGTGAACAAAACTTGAGCTTGATAGTCGGTTGTTAGTTAAATTGGTTAATAAGATAAGTACAAAGAATTACAACCATGAATAATTGTATTTGAAAGGATTTCTTGTCATTCCTATTGATGCTAAACTATTTTTTGAATATGTGAATCATTTTATTAAGTAGTAAATAATTTTTTCATTAATTTCTCTACCTGTACAAATTTTAGAAAGCATGGGAGGTTTTTATCACAACAATTTGGTTTTTGTGCGTAATCATCGTTCAGACACAATTCGTATAGCACTTTATTGATTAATTTCTATTGTTCTGCTATTTCATGAGTACTGTTACTTTACAGTAGAGGATTAAATAGATGTTTAAATTACAAGTTTGAAATATTTAGAAGTGGAAGAAGGGAAATTTAGATAGTTATTTACTAGTTAATCACATTTTAAGTAGGCTAACTCGGTAAACTAAGTTTTGTTTATGTTTTCAAATGTATGAGTTTGATTCACATATTTATAGGGTAAAGTCATTTAGTTGAAGTTAGACATTAACACCGTTGGATGCCGGCTCAGTGGTCTAGTGGTTAAGCCCTCGCACACGAAACTGATAGGTCCTGAGTCCGAATCTCGCGAGGCGGGATCGTGGATGCGCACTGCTAAGGAGTCCCACAGTAGGACGAAATGATCGTCCAGTGCTTCCAAGTTTTCCACGATGGTCTAGCTTGAATTAACTCATGATCTCAAGTATTAAAATTAAGGTTATTTTATTGGTTCAAAAAAAGTTTTAACTCATGAGAATAATTCTTTTTTCTTCATAACTATGAATCTTCTTTTCGTTCAGAGAAGTTTTCAATTGGTTATTTTTATTTAAAAAAATGTATTCACAGAAGTGTCAATTTCCTCTATGTACTGGATATGTATTTTACCGTAGAATATGAGATAAGCACAAGGTATATATTAGTTGATAGAAACCCTTTAAAATTATATAATTTAGTTTAGATGATATCTCGAAAACATCGACCAATGTTAAGAATTATTATACTATATCGTCCACTTATTATTTGAGTAGTTCATAGCACAGAATCTTTTGAATAACAATATTTAGTGATTAAAACTTATATTGA